AGGCGCCAAGCCCATTCCTGCATTGCATTTCCTAATTGTACTTTTTCATTTACAGAATAGAACCATACCTTCGAAGTTTAAATCTCAGTTCATCTGCAATAAGTGAATGCACTGTATGTTTCTTTAGGGAATCTTGCTTCAGCTCTTTGGTGGAACAAGGAAGGATTTTAGTCACACAGGCAGGGGCAAGTTCCGTGCTGAGATCAACATCCTTCTGTGTGGTGACCCAGGCACCAGCAAGTCCCAGCTGCTGCAGTACGTGTACAACCTGGTGCCCAGGGGCCAGTACACATCTGGGAAGGGCTCCAGTGCAGTTGGCCTTACAGCATACGTGATGAAAGACCCCGAGACAAGGCAGCTGGTCCTGCAGACAGGTGCCCTTGTTTTGAGTGACAATGGCATCTGTTGTATCGATGAGTTTGACAAGATGAATGAAAGCACCAGGTCTGTGCTACATGAAGTCATGGAGCAGCAGACTCTCTCCATTGCAAAGGTGAGCCGGATACTACACAGGGCGAGCAGAGGTGTGTAAGATGTGCGGGCCTTGGGTGGCGCCTGTGGCTAAAAGGAGTAGGGCGGCAGCCCCATATGCCACAGGTGGTGGGTTCAAACCCAGCCCTGGCCAAAAACTGCCCCCCCCCCAAAAAAAAAGATGTGCAGGCCTTGAAACACTATTCGTGGATCTGTGCTGTCTTCTGGCTCCAACTTAGGGCTGGGGGCGGGGGGGGGTTGAGGGGACTGATGGCCCTTTCGTGTCAGATTTCGGCTTATGTCTAAGTATGTCTACAAGGTATCCTCTTGTTTTTTGTTTTTGCTGTACCTCTCTCTCACTCACTGACATAGTATTCGTAGAACTTAAATGGGTCTAAGCTCATGCGAGGGGTTTGCTTTCTAAGAAAGATGGGCATAGCAAGCATTCATCATTTTTCAGCACAATTCCAAAGGTGGGCCTGTCCGTGTGAACTACTGCAGCCAGGGAAGGGGACAAGGCTCTCCAGCAGCAGCAGTGTTGCACAGGGAATGCAGAGTAATAGGAGGTCAGGCAAAGATGGCTCTTCTCCCTGCCAGTGTCAGGGAGTTCTAACTGTGTTGTTTTTTCTGATAGGCTGGAATCATCTGTCAGCTCAATGCGCGCACCTCTGTCTTGGCAGCAGCAAATCCCATTGAGTCTCAATGGAATCCTAAAAAAACTACCATTGAAAACATCCAGCTACCTCACACATTACTATCAAGGTATATTTTGCCCTTTTGTGGAATTTTCAGGCTGAGATTAAGAAGGAAATATGAGGCGGCACTCATTGTTCAGTGGTTAGGGTGCCAGTCATATACACCGGGGTTGGTGGGTTAGAACCCAGCCCAGGACAGCTAAATAGCAATGGCAACTGCAACAAAAAATAGCCAGGCATAGTGGCATATGCCTGTAGTCCCAGCTACTTGGGAGACTGAGGCAAGACACTCGCTTAAGCCCAAGAGTTTGAGGTTGCTGTGAGCTATGACGCCATAGCTCTTCACTGAGGGCAACTCTGTCTCAAAAAAAAAAAAAAGGGAAATACTAAGGTTTGGTACTGCTCAAATAAACTTCACTCTAATGCAAAAAGTTTTAATTTTGATTAGTCAAGGGTTTTTTGTTGTTGCTGTTGTTTTGAGACAGAGTCACACTCTGTTGCCCTGGGTAGAGTACAGTGGCATCATAGTTCACTGTAACCTCAAACTCCTGGGCTCAAATGATCCTCTTGTCTCAGCCTCCCATGTAGCTGGGACTAGAGGTTCCTGCTATAAGGCCTAGCTAGTTTTTCTGTTTTTAGTAGAGACAGAGTCTTGTTCTTGCTCAGGCGGGTCTCGAACTCAAGGGATGAGCTCAAGGGATCCTCCTGCCTTAGCCTCCCAGAGTGCTACAATTACAGGCATGAGCCACTGCACCTGGCCAGTCAAGGGTTTTCATAGCAAGGATTATGTGTTCTCTGCCCAGCTCTGGATAGCATCTTATCAATTTTGGTTTGTTTGGTTGTTGAAGCAATTGGGACATCCTTTTCAAGTGGCTGTCACTCACTGCTCTTAGCCCAGTCTGAAGGCCACTGTTGAGAATCAATAGAGAACACCCTGTATGATAGGTGAGGCTCTGAAAAAAAAATAGACTTATGAAAGCACTGCCCATAATCCTCACTTCTCAGCCCCACCACTGCAAACATTGGATATATTTCATAAGTGGAATTTACATTTCAATTATTTGACTTGTTTAACAGAATATTGGTTTTTTTCTCCCAAAAAAACCAGTTGGGGCGGCACCTGTGGCTCAGTGGGTACGGTGCCGGCCCCATATACCGAGGGTGAC